AACACGACCAGGCTCACCAGGACCCGAAGAGGGTGCACCCGCACCCCCAGACGTAGCACCCCCAAAGTCAGCAGGACCAGCACCAGCTCCTGGAAGACAAGAGTCTCCTGCAACCACGGGCTCAGCTCCAACTCCAGCACCCCCAGAGCTAGCACCTGTAGGGCCCTCTCCACGAGCACCGGCTCCCACAGGGTCTGCAGCAGGCTGCGAGGAGGACTGCAGGGAAGGAGGCTGCACCTGAGGGGCGACCGAGGGGGGAGGGGTAGCCTGAGACACACCTGACGGGGCGGGACCAGGGGGGGGAGGCTGTACCGGGGGAGCAGGAGGGGGAGCGGAAGTCAGGAAGAGAGGGGGAGGAGGAATCGGGAGACCTCGACTGGGGTACCTGACGTAGTAGGGGGTGGACTCCTCGAAACGGACGTCACGGGAGTCAAAGAACCGGTGGGAGGGAGGGTGGTAAAAGGTGAAGTCAGAGGAGTCCTCAGGGAAACCAAGGAAGACACAGGGAACGGCGCGAGGCGAGAGCTTGTCCGCGGAAGTGTCGCGGACAAGAGCCAAGCAACCCCAGACAAGAAACCTCGACGCAACACCAGGGGACCCGGTCCAAAGACTGGTCGGTGAAGCCTCTGGCCGAGAGACGCGTGGCCAGAGGTTCAGCTGGTGAGCGGCGTACCTAACCGCGTAGGGCCACAGAAAATGGGGGGCACGGGCGTGAGTCAAGGAGGTGCGGGCGATCTCCATGACTAAGCCTATGCGGCGCTCAGCAACCCCATTCTGCTGTGGGGGCTCTGGAAGCGTCCAGGACTGACTAATGCCCTGCTCGCGACAGAATCCGGCGAGAATGCCGGAGCGAAACTCACCCCCACGGTCAGAGTGAAGACAGTTGACACGACGACCACGAGTGCCCTCAGTGGTAAGCAACCACCTGATCAGCGTAGAAGTCACCTCAGACTTCTTCGCCAGGGGGAACACAGTGGTGTAGTGGGAGTAGTCGTCAACGACCACCAAAAAGAAACGCTCGCGCTCAGGGCCAAGGCGAGGGGCGGGGCCCCAGACGTCCAAGTGGAGCGTCTCAAAAGGCTCGGTGGCCGGACGAAGGGAGGAGGAGTGAGGGGTGGCGCGCAGCCGACCCTCGACGCAGGGACCGCACGGCGGTGCAAGCGAAGGCGGCAGCGACGGCAAGATACGCGGGAGGCCTAAGACAAGACGCTGACGAGACATAGCGCGCAGACGAGGGAGGGACGGGTGCCCCGTCCGGTGGTGCCAGAGAACTGTGGGGTGTGCAAGCGACCGGCAGGAGCACGACGCAGCAACTGGACCAGACACGGGAACCTGACCAAACACAGCTACCTGGGGGGACGCAGCAACCTGGTGAGACACAGGGACCAGACTGGGGGAAGTAACCGGGGCCGGGGGCAGGAGTCGCTGCTGCTGCCGCTGCTGCTGCTGCTGCTGCTGCTGCTGCTGCTGTACACCAGGGTCAGTGTGAAGTGTGTAGAGACCTGAGCCCGGCTCCGTCGTAAAGGTGGCAAGAGGCGCGTAAGTGTCGACGTCAACACAAACCGCCGTCTCACCAGAGGGCTCAATCCACACACCCACGTGCTGACTCACAAGAGGCCTCACGCCCACCAAGTTCCTCGAGAACGAGGGGACATGGAAGCCAGTCAGAGACCCAGAGGGAACAGCAGGGCACGGAAGAGTAGTAGTGTAGCGAGCAGTGACTGGTCCCGAGGTGGGATCAGCCAGTGCCACAGAGACTGGCGCAAGAAGCGGAGTAAGTGTCGTGTGGTCCCTGAAGAAGCAGTGCGAAGCCCCAGAGTCCAAAGTGAAAGAAAGTGAAGCGTCCTCGGAACGGGCTCCTGGACTAGTGTCTACACAGGTTCCTACACTAGCAAGAGGCAACTCAGCAAGACAAGCACCTAAGCTAGCAACACTCGAGTAAACAGAGTCAGAAGCACTAGAGTCAACAACAGCATACATAGCATGAGGAGTTCCTAAGAGATCAAGCAACTGAGAAGCTGACATGCCCCAAAGGGCAGGGCCGTACGTCTGAACAAGAGGAAACAAGTCAGGGGCAGGGCCTCCAACGCCGTAGGCCAAGCGAACCGTGTCAGTGAGCTGAGCAAAGCACTGACCAGGAGGGTGGGTGCGACCACAAGGCTGGCCTCGGCGAGCACCTGTCAAAAGCTGATAGGTGCACGAAGGGTGAACAGCACCTCGCTGAGGGTGACGCTGTGCTGGCCCCGAAACCTGCTGCTGTCGCTGCTGCTGCGGGGGCTGCTGCAAGGGGAGGGGCTGCTGCCGCTGCTGTTGCTGCTGCTGCTGCTGCTGCTGGGCCAGGTACCACGCCGCTGCTCCACCCGCCGCGGCCGGCAGACCAGAAGGTGGCTGACGAGCCCGGGCGTCGCCTCCACCAGCTGAGGGACAGTGCACCTGTGAAACGGTGGAGGGGGCACAGCACCAGAGGCGGAGGCTAATGAGCGGAGGTTGCTCTCGACGTCCTTGAGCGCAGACTCTAGGACCTCGATAGTGAGCTCACTAGGGTGCTCCAGGAGAAGCGCGTCACGAACCGAGGCAAGGCGGTCAGGGAGGCTAGTGGCGATGAAGTAGATAGTAATCGCCATGGGGGGAGGGAGCAGTGCAAGCTGTGCGTCAGTGCAAGCAGCGCGGTAGCTAGAATCGAGCGAGCGGAGGTGAGCAATCAAGTCAGCAGAGCGCTCAAACGAAGCAAGGTCCGGGAACAAGAACGGTAGGAAGAGGCGGCCAAGAGAGACAGTGGTGGGAGTAGCGTAGCGGGCCTTGATCGCAGTCATGAACTCACTAGCAGTGCGAACCTGAGTGAAATGGGCCTCCTCAGACTCAGGGAGGAGGCTGCTAAGAGCGATGCAGGCCGCAGCGTCACGCGACTTCCACGCCGTCAGGTCAGCACGCTGGCTGGCAAAGCGGGCTCTAGCAGCGTCGTCAGGGGCAGAGCCTAGAGGGGTAGGGTCGTCGGGCGCAGGAAGGTCACCAGTAGCGTGCGCCCAGAGGGACTCACCCGACTGGACCTGACTCTCTAAAAGGCGACGCGCGCGCAGGAGCTAGACCGAGAATTCGAGGGGTCGACCGTCAGTGTCAAAACGGAGAACTCTAGGAGTCGCCATAGTGGAAGTACGAGCGAAAGGACGCGTAGTAGAGCAGAGGGAGGGCTCGCGGCAGGCCTAAAAAGCAGGCGCAGCGGCGGAGAAACGAGCAGACGTGGCAGACGCGAGCAAGCAGGCACGCGTGCAGACAGAGAAGAGACAGCACAGCGGGCGAAGGGCGGGCGTGCTTAGAAACGGGCGCAGCGAGCACTCAAGCGCAGGGCGCAGGGCGCGGGGAGGCGCGGGCGCAGGGCTCAGGGCGCGGGGAGGCAAGGGGCGCAGGGCACGGGGAGGCGCGGGTGCAGGGCGCAGGGCGTAGGGAGGCGACGGGCGACGGGCGCAGGGCGTAGGGCGCGGGGAGGCGCGGGTGCAGCGGGCGCGCGGGTGTAGGGACGACGCGGTGGGCGCGTAGGGCAAGGGTAGGGACGCGACGGCGGGCAGGCGCGACGCGACGGGCGTTTAGGGCAGCGGGGGGAGGGCGCGTCGCGACGAGCAGCGGGGGAGGGCACGACGGGACGACGGGCGGGGAGAGCGCGACGCGACGGGGGCAGGGGAAGGCGCGATTCGACGGGCAGCGGTGGGTAAAAACGCGACTCGACGGGCAACGGGGGGGGAAAACGCGACTCGACGGGCAGCATGGGGGGGGAAACGCGACCGGCAGCACGGGGGAGGGGGGGGGGGGGGAGAAGGTCCCTACTCTACGAGAGTAGTGGATCGGCGGAACGGGCGGTAACGAACGAACGCGATTAGAGCGGGCTGGCGCTAGGCTCGGGTAAGACGTGCGCAACTAGTACGACAGAGTGAGACAGGCTCGAGCAAAACGAACGAGGTCGGGAGGAGCGGGATCCCACAGGATCCGAACCTAGGTGATACCATGTCAAGAAAGTAACTAATGATGTCATTGATGTGAGTTGGGGTACATATAACAAACCCTAACTTCTGTACCCCCTAAGACAAACCTCACTGAGGCTACAACATTTGACAATACATCACTACTCTGAGAGTTTAGTCTTGAAACGATCCTAAGGACCTTTTCAGCGCAACATTACTTATACGACCTTACATGACTCACTTAACCATCACAAATTACGAAGGCTTGAGAATTCCAATGTCAAGAATCATATGGAAATTTGAATGGGATGTGTGGGTGGGGTGGAGACTGTGGAGAGGAAGACAGATTTTGAAGGGTAATGTGTGGAGTCAAAATGAACAAATTCACTAGAATGTTTCTGGTTGTTGGGCAGACGCTTTGAAGCACAGTTTTACTGCGTGGAATCTCAACGTATCATACTCACTGCCAACAATGTGAGGTCAGCAGTGAAAAGGCTCCAACAACTAGAACAAAATATGCATGCCAATTATCTCTCATGTTTTACTGCTGTTAGCTATTTCGGATTGCCTCATAGGCGTGCTGGTCTGGTCTGTAACGACGAAAACAATCGAGCGTAACCTGAAGCTTAGGCTAGGCTGGTTGAGGTTCAGGGCGACTGGAGACTCACCGAGCCGTGCTGTCTGGTTCGTCTGGCTCGTTTGTCCGCATCCCGTCACCCAGGGGAATGAAGCTTCGCTTCCGCAACTTCCCCAAGCACACACAGCGGACCGCGTCACCCTGGGCGCGACTCGGTTCAGGGAATGTGCATGGAGGGAGGAATGTGGGGGTACGGATTTGGCATTGGTCGCCCCCATTTGCACGATAAATGCACGAGAACAAGGGTTTGCAAAACAGACCAATTCGAAGCAACTCGACTTCACAACTACTCGACATCCCAACGCCACTCCAACCACTTCGTACAACTCCTTTACCGTCCGCAGCACCTTGAACCGTTCCCAAATCCACTGCATCTCTGACGAACTCAGCTCAGCGTAGACACTACAGGCATGGCTCTCAAGAACGATTGCTCCAAGATTGAAGACATCGAATCAGGAGCAGCAACTTTCTCCGCTCCAGACGCCACGCTCCCCGCCTCCTCGTCGCCACCCAGAAACTCGCTCCCACTCTTTTGCTGCGCACCGCTCGCAAAGAACGCGTTTCCCGCAAGTGGCAGCGCGAATGAGGAGAATCCGGGAGAGTTCACCGCAATTTACCCTTCCGATTTGCACATCGCCAACCCTGAGGAAGTAACCAGCACTGCAGACGACGTAGAAAAGCTTCGCAAGGACGAGAAGGATCGCGAAAGGCGTCGTCTCCGGACCTGCTGCTGCCGCGTCGCATGCTGGTCGCTCATCGTCCTCGCCGTCGTTATCGTCGGATTAGGCGTCGCAGGGCTCGTCGCATACCTGACAGTCTCGAAGCAACAGCCGGAGGTGAAGGTCGAGCAAATCAACATCATCCGCGTCGGCATCACAAAATCCGGCGGCGGGTTCCTGGGCCTCGAAAACTTCCGCCTTGGCCTATCCGCGTTAATAAACGTCACCGCGCTCGTGTATAATCCCAACAACTGGGAAGTGGAAGCGGAAAACATCAGCGTGGACGTAAAATTCTTCGACATGAATATTACAAATGTGACCGTCCCCGGCGTCGTGGGTATGAGCAAGGGTGGGAGCGCGGAGTTGACTGTCCCCCTTGATATTGTCGACGCGCCCCTGGCGACGCTGAGTCCCGCGAGCCTGCTGACGACGCCGCTGCTGCATGGGCGCGCGGAAATGCGGGTGGTGGTTGGCACTGCAGCGCGCGTGAAATACTGGGGCATCTCGTCGCCGCGCGTTATGGTGCATGTGGAATGCACGATGCAGCTGGACCCGTTTTCCGCTAAGAAGTACAACGAGCAGTGTACACCCAGCATCTCACTGTAAAGGGAGCACTAGCAGTGTAGGTTTTAGGGATACCGTAGGCGTCGCCACACTCCCTCAGTAGGCGTTTGCTTGTTTTTTCAGGGCATATTCCTGACTTTGTGTCAGTCCCTGGCACAGGGTTTCACACAAATTCGGGAATGCGCTCCCTTAGTTTTGTACTTTTTGTTGTTTGATTACTATCCATAACTAAGCTACTGTTCATACCTAGAGCTGCCCTGAAATTTCAAGCGCTTCCCACTCAACAACCAGTTCCCACTCAACAATCGCTTCCCCCTCCCACCCCGCTTCCCCCTCCCACCCCGCTTCCCCCTCTCACCCCGCTCCCCCCTCCCACCCCGCTTCCCCCTCCCACCCCGCTTCCCCCTCCCACCCCGCTTCCCCCTCCCACCCCGCTTCCCCCTCCCACCCCGCTTCCCCCTCCCACCCCGCTTCCCCCTCCCACCCCGCTCCCCCCTCCCACCCCGCTTCCCCCTCCCACCCCGCTTCCCCCTCCCACCCCGCTCCTCCCTCCCACCCCGCTTCCCCCTCCCACCCCGCTTCCCCCTCCCACCCCGCTTCCCCCTCCCACCCCGCTTCCCCCTCCCACCCCGCTTCCCCCTCCCACCCCGCTTCCCCCTCCCACCCCGCTTCCCCCTCCCACCCCGCTTCCCCCTCCCACCCCGCTTCCCCCTCCCACCCCGCTCCCCCTCCCACCCCGCTTCCCCCTCCCACCCCGCTTCCCCCTCCCACCCCGCTTCCCCCTCCCACCCCGCTTCCCCCTCCCACCCCGCTTCCCCCTCCCACCCCGCTTCCCCCTCCCACCCCGCTCCCCCCTCCCACCCCGCTTCCCCCTCCCACCCCGCTTCCCCCTCCCACCCCGCTCCCCCCTCCCACCCCGCTTCCCCCTCCCACCCCGCTTCCCCCTCCCACCCCGCTTCCCCCTCCCACCCCGCTTCCCCCTCCCACCCCGCGTCCCCCTCTCTCTCCCCTTCCCCCTCTCTCTCCCCTTCCCCCTCTCTCTCCCCTTCCCCCTCTCTCTCCCCTCCCCCCTCTCTCTCCCCTCCCCCCTCCCTCTCCCATTTCCTCCCCCCTGCCAGCCATCACTCGCCTCCCTGCCACCCGCCGCCCCTATTCTTCGGAAGCTTATCCTCAGCGCATGCCCATCCATTGATGGGGCCGGCGACTTTCGGCCGTATCTTAAGGTGGGTCGGCAGCAGTTGTCTCTCATGGCCGGCAGCAGCGAGAGTATGTAGTGATGGGGAGGGTGTGTGCTGTGCAATGATGGGTGCACACTTGAATAGCATCATGGTGCTATGCCGTGCACTGCTAATCATTATCTGGCGGTTACCCTTGGCTGTGGCGGGTGTTTCGGAGGGGAGCTCAAGTGAGCAGCAGTGACTTGCCTGGGGAGGTGAAGCGTGGGGGAAGTGAGTTGTGGGGGAGGTGAGGCGTGGGGGAGGTGAAGCGTGGAGGAAGTGAGTTGTGGGGGAGGTGAGGCGTGGGGGAGGTGAAGTGTGGGGGAAGTGATTTGTGGGGAGGTGAGGCGTGGGGAAGGTGAAGTGTGGGGGAAGTGAGTTGTGGGGGAGGTGAGGCGTGGGGGAGGTGAAGCGAGGGGCAGAGTGGGCAGATGGAAAAGCAAAAAGGGTGGGTGGGAGAGAAAAGGGGTAGATGGGGAGACAAAGGGTTAGGTCGGGAATCAACGGGTTAGATGAAGAAGCAATGGGGCAGATGGGGAAAGAAAGGGGTTGATTGGGAAACAACCCTGCCTTTGCCATCCTTGCCTCTCCTCTCCTCTTTATTTTTCATTTTTAATCTCCTCTGCTCTTACCCCAATCTCCACCCGTTACCCTCCCCTTGCCACCTACCTCCAGGTTCCTCCATCCTTCCCCACGGGGTCAGCCTGGATGGCGCCCTTTGAGGTCAACGCCCCTGTGTGGGGCGACTGACTATGCCTCCCCCCTTTCCCCATCGCCTCATTCCCCCCTTCCCCACTCCCCACCCTTCCCACCCGCGTACCTCCAGGTGCCGCCCTCCTTCCCTACTGGTTCAGCCTGGATGGTGCCCTTTGAGATCAACGCCCCTGTGTGGGGCGACTGACTGTGCCTTACCCACTTCCCCATTCCCCCGTCCCCCCTCCCCCCAACCTCCAGGTTCCTCCATCCTTCCCCACGGGGTCAGCGTGGATGGTGCCCTTCGAGGTCAACGCCCCTGTGTGGGGTGACTGACTGTGCCTTCCCCCTTTCCCTTAGTCTCCCCCTGTCGGCCCTGTCACCCCCAACCTCCAGGTGCTGCCATCCTTCCCCACGGGGTCAGCGTGGATGGTGCCCTTCGAGGTCAACGCCCCTGTGTGGGGTGACTGTGCATTCGCCGTGCATCAGTGGACAGGTAGCATTTGGGAAGGTAGCTCGTGGGGAGGTAGCACGTGGGGAGGTAGCATGTGGAGAGGTAGCACATGGGGAGGTAGCACGTGGGGAGATACCACGTGGGGAGATAGCATGTGGGGAGGTAGCGTAACACGTGGGGAGGTAGGATATGGGCAGGTAGCATTTAGCCAATGCGCATCTGGACTGATAATACCTGGAGAAAAAGGCTCGGTGCTGTGACTTTGGCATGTAATACAGGAGGGAGTCTAGGTAGGCCGGATTTGAAGAGGTAGCATCTAGGCAGGTTAGACGTGTGCAAAGGGCATACTCCATACGGTGTATTGAGTTCTCTGCCCCATACCCTTTGTCAGAACCCCCTCACGGCTTTCACTCTCTACCCCTCTCGCCTAATCTCTGTACCTCTTGAGTACTAAGCAGCACTCTATTTTTGAGGCGCCTCAGAAATAGACGCTTCATCTTCGTACCTCCCAAATACCAGCAGCAGGGAGAAAGAGTGCAGTCTCGTGCTTGTCGTTGCATTTGAGTTGTCTCAATGATTGTTAATTCTCGCTCTCCATTCCACATCCCCCTACCCGCCAGGCAACAGCAGCAGGGACGAGAGCGAGCCCGTGTTTGTCTTCGCTTTCCACTCGGCTTTCCTACGCATCGGCCTCACTCGAATAACCCTTCACGAGGTAACGCCTTCCCCTGTACCGCCCTACTCTTCTTCCCTTAGAGCACCGGTCTCACTTGAATAACCTTTTACGGATTAACACGTGAATAGCCCTACATGAGGTAAGGTAAGGCGTGGATTCACCTCCGCCCTTCTCCCTTGTTGTATTCTTGTTAAGTTCCTACACCCTCCTTACCAGAATGGGTTCGTACACCCTCCTCTTCCCATCTCTATCCCCTCCACCCTTCTCCCCTTTTTCTACCACCCCATCTGCTCGACTGTGCGTATGGGGGAGGCAATTACCCGCCGATTTCCCCTCTTAGTACCCAACCAGCTCAGCTCCTCCTCTACTGCTTCACTTTTCCTCCCCTCCGTTCACCCCCTTTTCTACCACCCCAGCAGCTCGACTGTGCCTACGGGGGAGACATCCAAGTGCCTTCTTCATTGAGGAAAGGATAGGGGGACTTCAATAATGTACTCACAGAGATACCACGCCCACCTCTCCCTTCTTCCCCGCCTGCACACCCCCTTCCCTCTCCCATCCCCTGCTCGTCAACTCAACTGTGCCTACGGGGAGACATCCAAGTGACTGCAGACCCTAGCAAGCAGACCCTGCCTTCTCTTTCCCTTCTCCCCCTCCTCCTCCTTTCCCCGAACCAGCTTGACTGTGCATACGGGGGGGACATCCAAGTACCGGCCGATTTCTTCATCGACGTGCTGATAGATATGCCGCAGCCACGTGGCGGCGTGACATTGGCCGACGCCAACCCCGACGGCGCGCCAGCTGGCACGATGCTGACGTGGCAGCAGCTTCTGGCGGCGTACCGGGACGACTTTGTGGAAGCTTCCAGGAAGCAGCGGATGGCTCAAGAGAGGGAAGAGACGAGGCTGGGGAGAGCTGAGGCAGAGGGGAGTGAGCGGGAGGGAGAGGAAGGAGTGAACGGGAGAGGCAGCAGCACGTTCACATCGGATCAGCAAGAGCATTTCAAACGGGAGATTTCTCAAAGTGCTCTTGCAACGGAGGCAGTAGACGGGAGGGGCAGGGTGCCTCCGTTGCAAGAGCAACAGAGGGACCGGAGGGATGCAGTGGGGGATGGGGTGGGGGATGAGAGGAGGAGCCTGGCTCGCAGCCTGGTGACAGAGGTGCAAGCCCACCCTCTCCTGCGCCACACAGGACAAGCAAGCCACCCGGGCATGCTGTGTGTGCTGTCCATGCCGCCCGGCGTGGCATCCACGCCGCCCGGAACGGCGTTCATGTCGCCTGAAGTGATGTCCTCACGCCATAGCATGGGCGGTGGGGCCTTGAAAGGGGTTGACAGGCATGGCATGGGGCCTGGGGGGTCAAGGGGGGGCGAACGGCATAGCGTGGCGGGTGGGGGGTTAAAGGGGGGCGACAGGCACAGCAAGGGTGTGAGATTTGAGAAGGGGGGGAGAGGCACAGCATTGGGGGTGGGAGTGTGAAGGGGAGAGCCGTGGGTGAGGGGAGCATGGTGGGGGGTGCAGAAAGGATGGGGCAGGAAGGGAGTATGGGGGGGAAGGGGACCATGGGGTTTGCGGGGGGGATGAGGTGGGAGGGGAGCATGGGGGGTGCGGAGGGGATGGGGGAAGAGAGGCAGAGCGTGGGGAATTGGGGAGTGGATGTGAGCGCTATAGGTGGGGAGGGGAGTGTGGGGAGCACGGATGGTATGGGAGGGGATTGGGAGGGCATGGGTAGTGGGGATGCGATGGGGGGAAAGTGGGAAGGCAAGGGCATGGGTAGTGAGGATGTGAGGGTAGTGAGGGAGGTGAGAGAAGCAGGAGGAGAGTGGAGAGCAGGGGCGGGTGAAGCAAAAGGGGATCACCTGAGAGCAAGTGCCACTCTTCTGGCCGGCCACATGACAAGAGGAACAGAACCAATTGCTTCTCTACCTGAAGCGTTCTCATTATCACCCTCAACAGCAGCAGCAGCAGCAGCGGCATCAGCAGCACAAGTACCAACACTATCATCATCATCATCATCTAGAGGAGCAGCAGGAGCAGCAGCAGGAGCAGCAGCGGAGGCACATCCTCCACCTCCCTCCTCTCCCCCTCTCAAAACCACACCCGTTCAACCTACCCAAGCCCCCCCATCCTCACCCAACCCCTCCTCCGCCTCCCCCTCCCCCTCCCTCCGGCCGTCCCCCCCCTCCCCCTCCCCCTATCCGCCTAGCCTCAGGCAAGCTTGCTGCGCCTGTGATGGGGGGAAAGCAGGGAGAAGGGGAAGGGGGGAGGGTGGAGGGGGAAGGGGACCTTTTCCCCCCTGCCCGCCCCTTGCACTGGTCCAAAGTGACTAATGTGAAAGGGACAGTATGGGAGGAGATAGAAAGAGAGAGAGTGGTTGAAGAGGAGAGAGAAGAGACAGTAGGGGATGGGGAGAGCAAAAGCAATAGCTGTAGCAGTCTTGTATCGAAGGTGACACTACCAGATGACATGAGACGAGCCATCCGGGTGCTTTTTCAGGTAAAAGCAACAAAATCAGGTGGAAAGTCGAAGACAGGAGGAGGGGTGCAAGGAGAAGGGGGAGGACAGGGGGGGAGGAAGGGACTAGGGAAAGATGAGTTACAAGTGGTTGGTTTGGCTCGCGCTAACAACGTAGCCATCATGCTCACTCAATTCCGCATGCCCGAGAATCAAATCCGAGATCTGATCCTCGCAGGAGATCCTAAGCACGTGCTGCCACCTGACCGCCTGGGCCTGTTGCTTCAGGTGATTCCAACAGAGGAGGCGGCGAGGTTCAGAGCAGTCTCAGGTGCTGCTTCAGGTGCCATGTGTGCACCTGAGCGCTTCCTTTGGTCCATATCCCTGATCCCAAGAATGAGGAGGAAAATCGAGGCGCTAATGTTTGTGCGGCATTTTCACACCATAGTCAATGATGCCCGGGCAGTCATAAAAGTTTTTTGTCCTGCAGCCCGAGCGATTCGCAGCAGCAAGATTTTCCGGGCAGTGCTTGCAGCGGCGCTTGAAGTGGGGAACGAGCTCAACCGAGGCAGAGCAAGGGGTGAGTTGTGGTGACAGGCGGGCGAGGGAATCCAGAGAGAACCCGCGGGCTGAACCTGGAAATCAGGGGGGATGGAGGAGGGGGGGAAGGGTGAGAAGGGGATGAGAGAGTGTCGCATGTGGGGCTTTTTATAAGAGGATCTTATGAGTGTTGGTTTTTTTTGCACCAGTTTCGCTACTTTCCCTTTCCCTGCCTGCCGTTCCCAACCCTTGCCACTTCCCCCAATGCTTCCCGTACTAGACCTATGGTTCCCGTCCCACCCCTCTCCAACCCTTCCCAACCCACTCGACCCCGTCTCACCGTGTCACTCCTCCATCCCACCGTGCCAAGGGCCTCGACACACTGTTAACCGCCTCCCAGGTGGCTTCTGAGTCGACGCAGAAGTCAAACTCCTCCCAGATTCTGCCTCCTGGCTCTCGATTCTCGCGCACACAGTCCTTCCCTGTCACTCGTGCCAATGCCCCCTCATCCACCTCCTCCTCCTCGTCCTCGTCCTCCCCATCCCCTTCCCCGTTTTCCTCCTCTTCCTCCTCCTCTGCTCGTCCCTCCTCCCCGTTCCCCACATCCTCAACCCTCGCTGCCACCACACCTGCAGCCTCCCCTTTCCCTTCCCACCCTTCCCACCCTTCTCATCCCTCGCCCCTGATCGCCGGTGCAACAACGCTCCTCGACGTGGTGGTGATTATAACGAGGGGAAGCGACTCAACCAGCGCAGAGGGGGGAGAGGAGGGAGCAGGGGAAGTGGGGAGCAGCCTTGTGGGCAGTGCAGTCAGAAACAAGGGAGGAGAGGGGGGAGCAGGGAGGCGAGGGAAGCTGACAGTAGAGCTGGCAGCAGTGGGGGAGGCTGTTAGGATGTTCCAGGCTGAGGTGGCGGATGCCACGTCAGCACTGGACACTGGCCTGCGATTGGTGGATGAGGAGGTGCGGCTTCTGCAGCAGGAGAGAGAAGAGGCGAGGCTGGAGGAGGGGGAGGCAGATCAGGAGGAGGAGGAGGAGGAAGAAGAGCGGAAGGAGAGGGAGGAGGGACAGGGGAAGGGGCACGATAGCAAGGGTGAGGTGGAGAGGCAGCGGAAGGGGAAGAGGGTAGGGGAGGGCGGGCTGATGACTGTGCTAGCAGAGTTCAGATTGAGTGCAAGGAAGGAGAGGGAGGAGCTGGCCACGGATGCTGAGGAGTGCAGGTGAGCACAATGCGCTGCTGTGGGAGTTTCATATGGCTGTTAGGAGTGTAGTATTCACTGTATAAATTGTTGTCATCCGTAGTAGTGTAGCATACCTACATACATCCAATTCGCAACATCCGTGTGTCAACGACTTGGTGAACTTGGTGTGCGCATGGGCATTCTCTCTGTCCTATCTTTTCTCCCATCAGGTCAACACTTCGACAGCTGGCATGCTACCTTGGGGAGTCAAAACCCCAACCGTCGACATCAGATGTAATACCCCTCCCTCGTTAAATTGTTCACCAACCTTCAACCCACAACCATTCCTTCAAAAAAAATTGGTTGGCACTCTTTCCTTGACATCCCGACATTGAAGTTATGTTTGACATTTGCCACGGGGAGTTTTCCTGTGCAGGCGCTGTTTGCATCGCTGTGGTCGTTTGCCTCTCTTTGATCGAGCACAAGCGGCGCTTCACATGTGACACATTCACAACCTTACCTTTGGGGACTCACTTAACCGTGACTGCTGACGGCAACATGTTGGCCCTCACACGAGGAATAGATTAGAGTTCTGATCAGTGGTATGGTGGAAAGCATTCAGGCGTCATATAGAGTCGACATACTTGGGCTGAACTGCTGAGGCATTTTTTGGGTTGCACGGCTAAGCATCTTAAGTTTCTTCTGTCAGTATTAGTATGAGTTCAAGGCTAAACAACAGCTCAAGAACAAGCTGAAGAGCCAGGTGTTGAATATTGATTGTTTACTCTGTTAGGGTTGTACGTGTTTCAGTCCAGGCGTTTGTAGCTTCCGAACATCTCGTGACGAATATCGTCTTGGTCTGGGGTTATAACGAGCCCAGACGAACCTAATCTGAACCCTAGGCTAGGCTGGTTGAAGGGCTGGGCTATTGGGGGCTCACCGAGCCGTGCTGCCTGGTTTGTCTGGCTTGTTTGTCCGCATCCCCAATCACCGAGGGGGACGAAGCTTCGGTTCCTAGCCAAACTGTGGACAGCGAACCGCTATAACCCTGGGCGCGACTCGATTCACCCACGAGGGAGTCAGAATAATGCCAGCCAGGGCAGGGCCACGGAACTTGGACATTTCTCGCCCCCATTTGCACGATAAATGCGCAAGAGCAACGGCATTGCAAACAGACCAATTCGAAGCAACTCCAATTCCAATTCGGCCACCCAACTCGGCTCAACAATCTCACTTCAACCATCCCCAACCTCACAAGACGTCAAGCAATGGCTATCGTCAACGATTGTTCACGGAATTCGAAGTCGACGCAACAGATCGCATCGGACGGGGACATTGAATCGGGAAACTCCGCCTTCTCAGCTCCAGACGCCTCGCTTCCCGTTTCCTCGTCCCCTCCTCAAAAGCCGCTTCCCTTATTTTGCTGCGCGCCTGCGCTTGCGAGGAACGCAGTTTCTGCAAGTGACAGCGCCGATGAGGAAAATCCAGGAGAGTTCACCGCGGTCTACCCTTCCGACTTGCACATCGTCCACCCTATTAAAGAAGTAACCAGCACTGCAGACGAAGTAGAAAAGCTTTGCAAGGACGAGAAGGATTGCGAAAGGCGTAGTCTCCGGACCTGCTGCTGCCGCGTCGCATGCTGGTCGCTCATCGTCCTCGCCGTCGTTATCGTCGGTTTAAGCGTCGCAGGGCTCGTCGCATACTTGACAGTCTCGAAGCAATAGCCGGAGGTGAAGGTCGAGCAAATCAACATCATCCGCGTCGGCATCACAAAATCCGGCGGCGGGTTCCTGGGCCTCGAAAACTTCTGCCTTGGCCTATCCGCGTTAATAAACGTCACCGCGCTCGTGTATAATCCCAACAACTGGGAAGTGGAAGCGGAAAACACCAGCGTGGACGTAAAATTCTTCGACATGAATATTACAAATAAGACCGTCCCCGGCGTTGTGGGTATGAGCAAGGGTGGGAGCACGGAGTTGACTGTCCCCCATTGACATTATCGACGCGCCCCTGGCGACGCTGAGTCCCGCGAGCCTGCTGACGACGCCGCTGCTGCATGGGCGCGCGGAAATGCGGGTGGTGGTTGGCACTGCAGCGCGCGTGAAATACTGGGGTATCTCGTCGCTGCGCGTTATGGTGCATGTGGAATGCACGATGCAGCTGGACCCGTTTTCCGCTAAGAAGTACAACGAGCAGTGTACACCCAGCATCTCACTGTAAAGGGAGCACTAGCAGTGTAGGTTTTAGGGATACCGTAGGCGTCGCCACACTCCCTCAGTAGGCGTTTGCTTGTTTTTTCAGGGCATATTCTTGACTTTGTGTCAGTCCCTGGCACAGGGTTTCACACAAATTCGGGAATGCGCTCCCTTTGTTTTGTACTTTTTGTTGTTTGATTACTATCCATAACTAAGCTACTGTTCATACCTAGAGCTGCCCTGAAATTTCAAGCGCAACCTCAACCCTCACCGCCACCACTCCCGCAGCCTCCCCTTTCCCTTCCCATCCTAAGCCCCTGATCGTCCGTGCGACAACCGCCGTTGGGGCATTTCTTCTAGGCCCGATGGAGGAGAGGAGGGGGCAGAGAAAGACAAAAGTAGCCGTTTAGGCAATTCAGCGGGAAAAGAGGGAAGCTGCGGTTGCAATCAGAAACGGAAGAGGGAAGGGAATTGGCGTTTTGGGCAGGGAGGAGAGGAGGGAGCAAGGGGTGGAGGGAAACCGTCTATTGGGCAGGGAAGAGAGGAGGGAGAAGAGGAGAGGCTCCAGGAGAGGGAGGAGGACGAGGAGAAATACCAGGAGGGGGAAAGGGAGGAGGGACAGGTGGGTGGGACAGGGGGAGGGACAGGGGAGGGGCATGATAGCAAGGGTGAGGTGGAGAGGCAGTGGAAAGAGAAGGGGAAGGAGGAACTGGCCAATGATGCTGAAGAGTGCTGGTGAGCACGATGGTGTAACGTGCATCCATATTTCTAGCATCAGTGCATCAAAGTTTTGTTGAATTAGGTATGTGCCTTAGCACTCCGATCGTCTGCCATTGTTTATTATGTCAACGCTTTTACAGCTGGTATGCTACCTTGGACAGTCGAAACCCCAACCCTCAACAACAGATGTAAGACCCCTCTCATTCAACCGCCCACCGACCTTCATACCACAAATATCCTTTTATACGTTACACTACACATTTTCCTTGATTTCCTCACAGTCAATTTTCCTTGACATTCGATGTTGCCTATTACCTGTGCAAGTACTCCTTGCATCGTTGTGGTCGTTCACCTCACCACGCTCTTTAATCGAGCATATGGTACCAAGGACATATTTTTCTTGTTGGAAACATTTAGTTTGCGCTTATGAAGTATCGAGCACTATAACAAAAGGAGAAGTATACTCACAGCGAAGCAACACCGAGTCAACCAAAGCAGTTAACTAAACGGCAACAGCAGGAGGTTGAAGCGAAGGTCAAAGGTCAGCGACCTTTGACTTGAAAAAGGCAGCGCGATAGCAATGATAAATAATTGACTCGTTATTGAGCAGTTATCCGAGAAGTCGCTGTATCGAACCGCAACAGCAGTTACAGTTAAACCTTTCTTATTCCTTGTAATCATATATATGTCCTTGTATCTCTTTGCCATAATCAATTCATCTTGTTCTCACATACCAGTACTGTCAGAATACTGAAGAGAATGAATGAACTATGAAAGAGTTGGGTATAAGTACTAACCCTAATTGGGTTGTACCCCTTATGGGCTACCCCACTATAGCCTACACAAAGTAAGCACTATAACATTCTGACACACCCCCATAGGCAAAGTGGGGGAGAACAAGTTGTCACAAGACCAGTCAAGAAAAGCAAAGCAAGCTCGGGGTGGATCACGAAGTCACCACACAGTCCGAGCACAAGCAAATGGCCACAAGGCCAGTTCACATGGAGAGTTATATAAAAGAGAACAAACAGTACAGTGATAATACCCTAGCAAGTGTAAGCATGCAGGTATATATATAGATCAAAGTATAAGCAAGTTCACGGAGTGAGCAAGTGAGGCAAACTAGGCACAAGACATAAAACAGTACAGAAAAGCTGATGATCACCAGACTGAAGTGTCTTGGTGAATATATCAGCAGTGTTGGCCCGAGTGGCCACGTAAGCAAGACGAAGCTGACCATGCTGTTGCAGCTCTCGAGCAAGGAAGTAACGCAGAGCGATCAGCTTCGTTCTGTGCTACAGTCCGTGCTCCTGATACATGGCAATCATGGTCTTTTTGTCTACGTACAAAACTGGAGAAGAACGAGGCCGCTCTCCCAAGTCGATCAGCAGGTAGGTGAGCCAGCGTAACTCCTGTGCAGCCATGGCCCCTGCGTAGATCTCAGCCTCACAACTGGAACTAAGAATAGAAGACGAGCGGGTAGACCGCCAAGAAACAGAGTCAGAGCCAAGGCTGAAAGTGTAACCCTGTGACGACCGTTGCATAGCCAAGTCGTCAACCTAAGAAGCGTCTGCGTGTCCAGTGAGGTCAACTGGACCCGTCCTCCAAGCACGAGCCCCATGCCTGATGTACTGCACAAGTAGCGCAACACCCTCTTAGCAGCCTCCCAGTGCTCTGGTCGTTGTCTCCCGGGCGCAACGTAGCATGCCAGGATGCTAAGAGGGTAGGCAAGGTCAGGTCGAGTGCAGGTCATCAGGTACATGAGGCAACCCACAAGCTCTGGATACGGAGCACTCGACTCTACGGACTGGTCCGAAGGTGGAGCTTAGAGCGAGTGACCGGTAGGTAGAGGAGTGAACTGTGGCGAGGAGTACCGGAAGCTGAAGCGCTGAAGGACCAGGTGCACCATGTGTGACTGAGTCAGGGTGATGGTGCGCCATGCTCTGTCCCGGGTGATCTGCAAGCCAAGATAGCTGCGCAGTTCACCCAGGTCAGTGCAAGTGTATCTCTTCTGCAGCTCCGACTTCACAAGGGCCAGTGCCTCAGTGTCAGCGGTGGCAAATACGAAGTCGTCAACGTACAGGAGGACGTAGAACGGTGGCAGCAAAGTGTCAGTGCGCAGAAACAGCGATTGGTCAGCAGTCGAAGGAGCAAACCCAAGATCTGCAAGCGTCGTCCTCAGTGTGTCATGCCACTCACAAGGCACTTGGCGGAGACCGTAGACTGGCCACCGGAGGCTCCACTGGGTACCTGCAGAAAACGACCCTGTGAAGCCAGGTGGGCGGCGCAGCCAGATCTCCTCGTGCCGGCTGCCCTGTAAGAAAGCTGTGCTGAAGTCAAGAGAGTGCAGCTCGTAGTCACGCTGAGCGGCGACGTGCAGCAGCACCTGAAGAGTGGTCATCTTCAGGGTAGGGAAGAAGGTCTGGAAGAAGTCAACTCCCTGTCGGTGACTAAAGCCTCGTGCAACGTAACGAGCCTTGAAGACAGGCGGAGAACCCGGCGGCCGTTTCACCCTGAAAATCCACATGTCATCGACTATGTTCGCCCCAGAAGGGGGAACTGCATCGATGTAGGTGCTTGTGGACTTCCTGGATGCCATCTCTGCATCCATGGCTGTCTGCCACTGAGAGGAGTAGGGACCCGTAATCTCCTCTGCGTAAGAGCGCGGGGTCGGGATGTCTGGTGCATCCGGGTCTCCCTCAGGTGCAAGCAGCATGGCCACGAGATGAGGTACAGCAGCTGCAAGACACTCAAAGCCCTCCTGTCTGTCCTCAAGGACGTCCGTGCCAAGAGCACACTCACCCCCGACGGACGGAGGACAGTCAGACTCAGACTCATCAACAAGACTAGTGGCGTAGTCGAGACGACAGGCGGCAGCAAAGTCAACAAGCTCAGCAACTAGGGCAGATGCAGCAGTGGACTCAAACGAAGGGTCAGTGACAACAGTGGCTAGAAGACGAGGGACAGTAGGACTGGCAGCACGAGCTAAGTCAGACTCAGGGTCAGGAACGGCAAGAGGAGAGGACGCAGGAGGAGGCAGCAGGGGAACTCACAGTGGAACAGAGGAAGGATGAAGTGCCATAATGTGAGTGCCAGGGACAAGAGGAGGACGTGGACGAGGAACACGACGTCCAGTGCGAACAGCGCAAACAGGCGAGGCAAGATGAGACTCAGGCTCACAACGTTCTGTAAAAGAGTCTGTCTGCTCAGCATAAGGAGAAGGATCAGGCAGTGGGGAGTCTGGCTATAACTGTGGCTGCGACTGGTGAGGCGGTGGACTCAGTAAGCTAGGAGGAAGGCCAGCAGAAGACGGGAGACTAAGAACCTGGCGAAGGACCGAGTCAGGTGGCGGCAGAATGAAAAACGGTCGTCGCTGCACAGTGCCTCTAGCACTAGTACCGCCAGCTCCGGCACCCCCAGCGCCAGCACCTCCAGCTCCAGGGTCTCCAGATCCAGCGCCTCCAGCTCTATCGCCTCAAGCGCCTGTGCCTCCAGCTTCAAAGCCTCTAGCTCCAGCGCCTCCAGCTCCAGTGCCTCTAGCGCCAGCACCAGGGTCCCCAGCACCAGGGCCTCCAGCCGCAGCGCCAAGAGGGCCAGTGTCTCCAGCTCCAGTGCCTCCAACTTCAGCGCTACCAACAACGCCAACTTTGGCAGCTCAAGTACCACTGCTCCTCTGCAGAATCTCCACATGGACGTGTGGGGCCCAGCCCCTGTCCGTGGGACGGACCAGGAGCGCTACTTCCTGCTGGCCGTTGACGACTACACGCGCTACACCACGGTCTTCCCCTTGCGCAGCAAGGCGGAAGTCAGCAGTGTTTTGATCCCCCGGATCCGCGCTATTCGTCACCAGCTGCGCGAGCGGTTTCGGCGGGACCTTCCAGTCCTGTGTCTGCACTCTGACTTGGGCGGTGAGTTCTCTTCCGGCCTCCTTGCGGAGTTCTGTCGAGACGAGGGTATCATCCAGTCGTTCACGCTTCCGGCCTCTCCGCAGAAAAATGGGATTGCTGAGCGTCGCATTGGCTTGATCATGGAGGTTGCTTGCACCTCCATGATCCATGAGGCTGCTCCCCATTCTCTATGGCCATTTGCGGTCCTATACGCCGCGCATCAGATCAACCTCTAGCCCCGTGTCTCTTTGCCAGAGACCTCGCCCACACTCCGTTGGATGGGAGAGGTTGGCGATGCGTTGGTGTTTCGGGTTTGGGGCGTGCTCTCCCTTGTTCGCGATACCACCGCGAGCAAGCTCTCTCCTCACACTCTCTGATGCGCCTTCCAAGGCTTCCCCACCGATGCCCCGCCATGGCAGTTTTACCACCCTCGCTTGCGTCGAGTCTTCTCCTCCTAGGTGTCTCTCAGGTAGACCCACCCCCCTTGGTTGAGCCTTTGGTGATCTCCTCTAACACCTCTGGCCCAGCTGAGGGGGGTGACCCTGCTGCTGACGATACAGCGACCACTCGACGCTCTCCACGCTTGGAGACCCCTCCTGGTTTTCCGCCTCGACCGTCTTCACCGCCTCTGCAGCCTGTAGCTGTGGACACAGGTGCTGCTGGGGGTGGTGACACTGGAGGTGAGGACGCAGGAGGTGCTGGTCCTGGGGGTGCTGAGACTGGGGGTGCTGGTCTTGGGGGTACTGAGACTGGGGGTGAGGGTTCTGGGGGTGCTGACTCTGGGGGTGCTGACTTTGGGGGTGCTGCGAGTCCTAGTGGTGGTGGGGCCGTGGGTGCTCCTACTACAGGTCCTGGCGTTGGACTGCAGCAGCCGCCTAGTCGACTTGAGACGCCCTCACCGCAGCAGCTTCGTGAGTGGGTCGTTCGGCGAGGCCGCTCTGGTGCTGGAGCTTGGATATTTACAGCTCCTCGAGCTGCTGGTCCTGGAGGTGCTGGAGCTGCCAGAGCTGGAGGTGCTGGTGCTGCTGGAGCTAGAGGTATTGGAGGTGCTGGTACTGCTCGCACTGGAGGTGCTGGAGCTGGAGGTACTGGAGGTGTTGGTGCTGCTGGTGGTGGAGGTACTGGAGGTGCTGCTGGCACTGGAGCTGGAGGTACTGGAGGTGCTGGAGCTGCTGTTCCTAGAGGTGCTCGTACTAGAGGTGCTGGCGCTGACGGAGCTGGTGGTGCTACTGGTGCTGGAGGTGCTGGAGGTGCTACTGGTGCTGCAGGTGCTGGAGGAGCTGGAACAACTAACGGTATGGGTACTGCCCCGCGCCGACCATTTTTCTACCCGCAGCCGCAGTCGTCCCTGCCGCCGCCTGACTCGGTCCTTCGCCAGGTTCTTAGTCTCTTGTTTTCCACTGGCCTCACTCCACCTCTCCTGTGTCCACCGACAGACCAGTCTCAGCCACAGCGACTACCTGGCTCCCCGCTCCCTGCTCCTGCTCCTCACACCGAGGTGACTGAGTCCCCGACTGCGCGTCGTGAGCCCAAGACTCGTGCTTCCACACATGTTTATGCTGATTGTGTCGCTCGTCCTTGTCCTCCTGCTGTCCCTGGCACTCACGTTATGGCACTTCGTCTTTCCTCTGTTCCATAGCGTATTCCCCTGCCGTCTCCTCCGGCGTCCTCTCTTCCTGACGGTCGTGACCCTTCGTCCGACCTTGCTTGTGCTACCAGTCCTACTATCACTCGTCTACTCGCTACCGTCGTCACTGACCTTGACTTTGAGTCTACTGCTGCGTTTGCCCTAGTCACTGAGCTAGTCGACTTTGCTACTAGACGCCGTCTTGACTACGCCGCGAGTCTTGTTACTGAGTCTGAGTCTTTCTGTCCTCCGTCCCTCGGGGGTGAGCCTACCCTTGGCAGTGAGCCTTCACGAGGAGATCTGGCTGTGCCGCCCACCTGGCTTCACTGGGTCGTTTCCTGCGGGTACCCATTGGAGCTTCCGGCGGCCAGTCTACGGTCTCCGCAAGGCGCCCCGCGAGTGGCACGACACCCTGAGGATGACACTTGCGGCTCTTGGGTTTGCTCCTTCCTCTGCTGACCCGTCCCTGTTTCTATGCAACGACACTTCTCGGCCGCCGTTCTACGTTCTCGTGTACGTTGACGACTTGGTTTTTGCTACTCTTGACACTGAGGCGCTGGCCCTTGTGAAGGCGGAGCTGCAGGAGAGACACAGTTGCACTGACCTGTGTGAGCTACGGAGCTATCTTGGCTTGCAGATCACCCGGGACAGAGCACGGTGCACCATCACCCTGACTTAGTCACACATGGTGCACCAGGTCCTTCAGCGCTTCGGCTTCCAGTACTCCTCACCACAGCCCACTCCTCTGCCTACCGGCCACTCACTCTCAGCTCCACCTTCGGACGAGTCCGTAGAGCCGAGTGGTCCATATCCAGAGCTTGTGGGTTGCCTCATGTACCTGATGACGTGCACACGACCTGACCTCGCGTACCCTCTCAGCCTCCTGGCTCGCTACGTGGCTCCCGGTAGACACCGAAAGGTGCACTAGGATGCTGCGAAGAGGGTATTGCGTTAATTGTGCAGTACATCAGGCATGGGGCTCGTGCTTGGAGGACGGGGTTCAGTGGTACTCACAGGACACTCCGACGCTTCTTGGGTTGATGACCAGGCGACTCAGCGTTCATCACAGGGTTACACCTTCAGTCTTGGCTCTGGTTCTGTCTCATGGAGGTCCGCTCATTCTTCTTCTGTGCTTGGCTCCAGCTGTGAGGCCGAGATCTACGCTGGAGCTATGGCTGCACAGGAGCTACGCTGTCTGACCTACCTGCTGACCGACTTGAGCGGCGTCGCTCTCCTCCAATTCTATACGTCGACAACAAGGCCATGCTTGCCTTGTGTCACGAGCAGAGACTAGAGCACATGATGAAGCACATTGCCCTTCGCTAATTTCTTGCTCAAGAGCTGCAGCAGCGTGGTCAGCTTCGCCTTTTCTTCGTGGCCTCTCGGGCCAACACTGCTGATGTCTTCACTAAGGCCCTCGGGTCCGGTGATCATCAACGTTTTTGCACTGCTCTTGGGCTTCTGCCAACCCTGCCTCACCTGCTTGTCTCTTGATCTTGCACTTTTTGTACACTGATATCTATATTTATACCTGCGTGTCTACTCTTGCTAGGTTGTGATAAGTGTACTGCCTTGCTATTATAACTCTGCATGTGAACTGGCCTTGTGGCCGCTTGCTTGTACTCAAAATGTGTGGTGATCTTGAGATCCGCCCTGGGCTTTGCATTACTTTGTTCTCTTGCCTGACTGGTCTTGTGACCGTTTGTTGTGTTGGCTATCCCTCAATTTGCCTAGGGGGGTGTGTCAAAACATATTTGTATGTTCTTAGTTCTGCTAGGCTACAATGAGGTGCTCAGTATAGGGTACAACCCCAGTTAGGGTTTCATACTTGTATCTCCCTGTTGCTAGTCATTCCTCAATCTTGCAACAGTTCTCTCGACAACGCGATACCGTTCTACGGATTTGCCACTCCCAGGCTGTATGTTGCCACTTTTCGGTGCCAACTCTTCACTTCAAATGCAGCCGAGTTCACACCGCAAGTACGAATCTTGCCAACTACCGTAGTTTGGGGCCCATGTTTTGTATGAAATCTAAGACTAGGGCCCAGGTATCGTCTGAAATTCTTTACAACGCTACAGGTTTTATCTGACGCTCAGACAAGGGGCCAAGAACCAGTCTTAACGCCAGACAAGGCTTTTTTCTAAAGTTACCTGGTTAGGTACTTGTACCCACATTCTGCTCAATGCATTCCTGCTCACTTAATTCTGACATGGTTTCTGTTGGTGCAACCCTACGGTTTGCATTCGGCTTGTTGTCCATCTGCGTGCATGCGTGTGTGCATGGAATGGTATGAGGGCATGAGATAATATATATTTCATGCTTACAATAGTGTGTGAATGATGAGGCATGATTTTGAATGTGTGTGTCGAGTCAATAGCGAGTTATCGCTAGTTGCGTGTGACGTCGTTGTTTGCGTGTCGTGTGCGGTTTTCTATTTTGTCGTGTGTGGAACGTTCGGCGTGTCGCAGGTGTGCGCAGCAGACTTCCAAGAACTCAAGGAAGAATTTATCTTGAAGAACCAGAGCCTTGGTTTCAAGATTCAAGTGATTTCGAAGCTCTCCAAAAGGGTAAACATTAAGATAGTGAGAATAGTTGCATTACTTTTTGTAGTGTAACATTTCTCTTGGTGTAGGCCCTTGTGGAGGGTAGTTTCGAGACCCTTCGTGGTTGGGGACAGTGTGGCACTGTTCCACATCACTGTACCTCGGCTCTTGGGGTTTGTAGGAGCTGGGAGTCATTCCCAACTCGTAACTCTTCCTATCTTGTGTTCTAAGACTCTGCCATAGTACCGTTCGATCAAACCAACGCTGTGTCGTCAATTCTTTATGAAATCGTGCAATCTAAATTGCTTATTGTAGAAGACGTGAAGAAGCTCCAGATCCAATTTGAATCAAGTCATTTGCAGCTGTGAGCAGAACGCTATCAACGTTTGAAGCCGCTGTGCAGAAATCCGTCTGTGCTCTCTATCTTTCGTTTTAGGCACATTCAAGCCTATTGTGACTATAACAGTTTCAGAGCATGTAGGTCCCTAGGACCAAAAGTTTTAGGTTCTACCCTGCCCGTTTTTTCTGCCCTGCCCCTAACGATCGCGACCCGGCCGCCTACTAGAGCCACCCTGCCCCACGCGTTCGCACCTGCCCTGTCTCGCGTGCTGTCCCACACGCTGCCCTACGCGCTGCCCTAGGTGCTACCCGCGCGCGCAGCTGCTCGCGCTGCCCGCGCCCCGCGTTTCCTCCTGCCTGCGCTCCCTGCAGCCTGCGCACGCTCATCTGCTGCCCGCGTCGCCTGCTGCCCGTGCGTGCCTCTGCTGCCAGCGCGCCCTGCTGCCCTGCGCCCCGCATGCGCCCTGCATGCGTTTTAATCTCTATAGTGGACCTGAGAGTTCGGATTACTCAAGTTCTTGGCACTTAAGCAGGGTACAACACACAGAGAGTATCACTGTTTTTCTTTTGCCCAAAGTATAATTTGACTGCTGCTCTCCTAAGTCTCATGGCCGACGCTGCCCTGCGCCCCGCATGCGCCCTACAGCCCACGCGCGCCTGCTGCCTGCGTTGCCTGCTGCCCGCGCGCGCCTCTGCTGCCCACGTCGCTCGCTGCCCGTGTGAGCCCTGCTGCATGCGCGCGCCTCTGCTGCCAGCGCGCTCTGCTGCCCTGCGCCCCACGTGCGCCATGCTGCCAGCGCGCCCTGCAGCCTGCGCGCCCAGCAACCCGTGCGCCCTGCTGCCCGTGCGCCCTGCAGCCCGCGTCGCCTGCTGCCCACGCGCTCTTGCTGCCAACGCGCCCTGCCCGTGCGCCCTGCAGCCCGTGCTGCCCTGCAGCCCGCGCACATGCGCTGTCCGCGCCCCGCGCGCCCTGCTGCGCCCCGCGCGCCCTGCAGCCCGCGAGCTGCCCAGCCCGCGCGCCTGCGCTGCCCGCGCCCCGCGCGCCCTGCCGCGCCCCGCACGCCCTGCTGCCCTCGCCCCGTGCGCCCTGCTTACCGCGCGCCCCCTGCTGCTAACGCACCCTGCTGCCCCGCGCCCCACGCGTCCTGAGCGCCCTGCTGCCCTGCGCCCCACACGCCCTCCTGCCCGCGCGCTGCCTTAGCCACCCGCGCGCTGCCCTAGCCGCCCACGCACTGCCCTAGCCACTACATCTGCCACAGTCGCAGCACCTCCCACTACAACAGCTGCCGCCTTCACGCTTGACTCAGGCGCGACTCGCTACTTCTTCCGCGACTGCACCAGTGTCACACCGCTCACTGCACTGTCAACATATATTTTATATGTGTTGTTTAGGTTAGTCTAGGGGTTACATTCATATTACCTAGGGTTTGCTATATCTTGTTGTACCTTGTTTTTCCTTAGTCAATTCTCTTCACCCGTAAGTCTCTCGACATGGTATAGAGCTAGAACATCCTATGGGCCCACCTCCCCGTAGCGCCCTAATGCCCGAAGCGCCCTAATGCCTGAAGCGCCCCATCATCTCACTAGTTCGCGCGTCACCCGTCTTGCCTCGAGTGCGCCACCCATTTTCCCCCACTCGCGTCACCCGTTTTTTGGCCCGCGCCACACTCGTTCTGCCCCGCGCGTTGCACGCCAGCCCGCTAGCGCGCAACCGTAGGCGTAGCCGCAGCCGCACGCAGGCGTAGCCGTAGGCGCACGCAGCCGTAGCCGGATGCACGGCTGCTTGCGCAACCGCACGCGCACCCTCACGCAGCCACACAAGCAGCCGCGCGCGACGGCCTGCAGAGCAGCACGCGCAGCCGCACGCTCGAACACACGCGCAGAAGCTCGTGCAGCCCGTGCGCCGCCCCACGTGCGCCAAACGCTCCCCTAGCCCGCTGCCCCAAACGTTCCCGCTGCCTCACCTGTAGCCCGCCGCCCCAGCCAGATCTGCCACCTCACCCTTAATCCGCCACTAGACCCGTACCCAGCCGCCCCACCCATCCAGCCACTTCACCGGCTGTCTCACCTGTTCAGCCGCCCCAGCCAGACCAGCCGCCACTGCACATAACCAGCCACCCCACCTGTACTCGTGCTAGACACCCACCCCCAGGAACCCCACAGAACCGCACAGAACCACACCGAACCGTATAGACCGCACAGAACCGCACAGAACAGCACCCGCTGCCCCACCTGTACTAGTCAGAGCTGCCCCCACGACCTGAATCCTCCGCCTCACGTGCTAGACCCGTACCCATCTGCCCCTCCCGTCCAGCCGCCCCAGCCAGACCACCCGCCCCTGCCCGTAACCAGCCACCCCACCTGTATCCGTACTAGACCCCCCCCACCCCCCCCCCTTGGAACCACACAGAACCGCACTGAACCGTACAGAATCGCTCAGAAACGCACAGAACCGCACATATAGCACCCACTTCCCCACCTGTACCAATCAGAGCTGCCCCCACGACCTGAATCCTCCGCCTCAAGCACTGAAACCCGCCACCAGCACCACCAGTAGCAGCATAGGCTGCCCCCAGCTCACCAGCAGCAGCTTAGGCTACCGCCAACGCACCAGCAGCAGTTTAGGTTGCCCCCAGCAGAACTAGCAGCAGCACGGGCTGCACTCAGCGCACCCGCAGCAGCTTAGGCTACCGCCAACGCGCAAGCAGCAGCTTAGGCTACCGCCAGCGCACCAGCAGCAGCTTAGGCTGCCCCCAGCAGAACCAGCAGCAGCATAGGCTGCCCCCAGCACTCGAGCAGAAGCTTAGGCTACCGCCAACGCACCAGCAACTTAGGCTGCCTCCAGCAGAACCAGCAGCAGCATAGGCTGTCCCCAGCGTTCGAGCAGTAGCTTAGGCTACCGCCAGCGCACCAGCAACTTAGGCTGCCCCCAGCAGAACCAGCAGCAGCATAGGCTGCCCCGACCACACCAGCAGCAGTTTAGGCAGCCCCCCGCAGAAGCAGCAGCAACATAGGCTACCCCCAGCGCACCAGCAGTAGCTTAGGCTGCCCCCAACCGAACCAGCAGCAGCATAGCCTGCCGCCAGCAGCAGTTTAGGCCCACCTGCCAGAACCACCCCCCGTTTCTAGCTTCTCACATGGCGTGTACTAGTGTTCTACAGTAGCAGGGCCAGCCGCAGCACTCCCGGCAGTGGGGACCTGCGGGTCCAAAGTGTGGCGCCCCCAGCAGTGGCTCAGCTAGCAGTGGGCGAGACGTCGGCCCCTGCGGGTACCGGGCCCTGACAGGTCCTGGTGCTGGCACCACCTGCTGGAGTCTTGACCACTCAGCGTCCCGCTGCTACCGTTGCCTCGACGACCTCCACCATGAGCGTTTTGGTCCCCACTCTATTACACCGCACTGACCCTCGTGTCTCCGCCAGCGCACTGCTGCACTAGTTGAGTCTCACCTACCTAGTCTAGGACCTTTCCCGGCTGCACGAGAAGAGACCTGTGTTTCCAGTCTTGGTGCGTGTGTAGTTTCCAGTCTAGAAGCCTCTGGAGCGTCCAGCTGTTTCTTTCGCGACTGTACTGACCTCACGCCACTCCGCACTCTAATCACTGTCGCCTTGGCTGACCCCTCCGTGGGACCTGTAGTTGCCCACAGCACCACCACTCTTCCGTGTCCGGCAGCTCCCTCTGGGTTTCTCACAGGTTACTACACCCCCTCGTTCTCCAGGAACCTGGTGGGTGTCAGTCACCTCCACGACCTAGGTGTAGTCAATACTTTCCCACTGGACGAGCATGTTGCCTCCAGCACAGTCGGTGCCACTGAGGCGCCTCTAGCCACTTTCCACAGGGAGCCGGGCTCTGGTCTATACTCACTACGCACTGGGTCCCACCACACTGGGTCAGGTCAGGTCAGGTCAGGTCAGGTCAGGTCAGGTCAGGTCAGGTCAGGTCAGGTCAGGTAGCTGCTGTGTCGTGCGACTATCGGTCACTCACCTACCCGTCGGTCCTTTGGCACCACCGTCTTGGTCACCCGTCCTTCCTGCGTCTTAGTAGGATGGTACGTCACCGTCTGGTCTCAGGTCTTCCAGAGTCGCTTGCCCCGCTTCCCCGCTCGCCTGCGCCGCCGTGCACTCCTTGCGTCGAGGGTCGGCAGCGCGCTGCCCCTCACTCCTCTTCGTTCCCCCCCACCATGGCTCCCTTACAGACCTTGCACTTCGTCTGGGGCCCCTCCCTGGTCCTTGGCCCACGTCAGGAGCGCTTCTTCCTGATTGTGGTGGACGACTTCTCCCGCTTCACCACGGTGTTTCCCTTGCGACGGAAGGCCGACGTGCCTACCGTCCTAGAGCCATGGCTACTAGCGAGGGGTGGCGCCCAGGGCCTGTGTGGACTCCACCTGCACTTGGACCGTGGCGGTGAGTTTTTCTTCCACTTGCGTGGAGACGTTCTGTCAGGGTCAGGGGATCATCCAGTCTTACAAGCTACCAGCCTCGCCGCAGCAGAACGGGGTAGCCGAGCAATGCATCAGCCTGGCCATGGAGGTTGCCCGGACCTCTATGTGCCCCGTTACAATTCAAGGCTTCTGGCAAAGGGGTTTCAGCAGACAAAGGGGAAGGACTTCAATGAGATTTTTGCTCATGTGGGGAAAGGGATGACACTGAGGGTGTCGTTGGCCGCAGCTGCAAACCGTGGATGGAGGATCAAGCAGATGGACATCACTACTGCCTTCCTCAATGGGATCATTCTGGAGGAGCTGTACATGCAGCAGCCTGAGGGGTTGGATGATGGGAGCGGCAGGGTGTGCAGGCTGAAGAAGGCCATCTATGGCCTGAAGCAGGCTCCTCGCGCATGGTACCACAAGCTAGAGGAGACACTGCTGACTGGGGGGTTCAAGAAGAGTGAATGTGACCACAGTCTATTCCTGCTGCAAGAGAAGAACGACCCTGCATGCGCTGCAGCATCTGCATGGTCTTCGGTGACCCCCACTACAAGTATGGGCGCTATGGCGAGGGCGGCATCAACATCCAGAAGCAGACGATGCGCAAGCATCACCACAGCATGAAGCATGAGGCGGCGGTGTTGAGTAAGGAGCAACGTGATGGACAGAAAAAAGGGCAGAATTCCATTGCAGACTTCGACAAGGGGGACGAAGACATCAAGCGTATTGCTCGTTTGATGTCTATTGTGCTTTTCATTTGCAAATCTGACGCACCCATTGTGCTTTTCGTGTCCCTGGTACAGCTCAAGGCTGAGCAGGGGACTCCTGACCTGCCCCTGAATGAGAACGGGACGTAGTACAACGAGTAAGTGTCCCGTGCATGATGAATCATATTTCCTGCTGCTGTTCCATCTGACAAATTTCGTGTTGCTTGTGTGTTTCAGGTACGGTTTCGCGCAACTGGTGGAGACCATGGTGTGCTACCTCAAATCCTGCCAGATGAAACACATCCACACCAGTCCCTTCCTTGGCATCTAGTTGGACAAAAGCACCGACAGGCACCGAGGGAAGCACATGATCGTCTATATGACGTTCATGCATGACAACGCACCCGTCACTGAGTTCTACGCATTGCTCACCGTCAAATAGTGTGACGCCGCCTCGCTCCAAACTGTGCTGCTGGCGCATCTGGAGAGTACGGGCATCGACCTCCAACGCATCTGCGTGGGACCAATGTCATGCTTGGCTAGCACACCGGGGTGGTCGCGCGACTCAAGGTGAAGATCCCGCGTCTTGTATCTTCCCACTGTATCGCGCACTGGTACGTGCAATATGCTTTTGTCATGATTCTTTTTCCGGATTCATTGTTCTTGTTCATGTTAATGTGGTTCCTTGTTCATAATTGTTCCTGTTTTGCAGGGAGGCACTAGCGGCAAAGGATGCTGCCACCGCTTATCCGGACCTCCAGGTCGTGGACAAGGTGGTCCGGTCAGTAGCGAATAACCTCGGCCGCTCCGTAGTCGTCCACACCCGTTTTCAAGAGCTCCAGGAGGTCTTCTGCTAGACAAACATGGAGATGCAAGGAATTAAAGATATTTGGTGGCTCTCCCACGGTCAAGTGATACAACGCTTGGTCTACGTATTTCCGGCAGCAGTCATTGTGTTGCACGAGTTCAACCGTATGATTTATCACACTGTGACAAGTTACAAGTTTCATTTGTTGTTGTTTTTCCTGGCCGACGTCTTGAAGGAGCTCAGCCTTCTCAACATGAAGTTTCAGCGTCCGCAGGTGAGTTATTCGATCTTAGTTTCGACCCCGCTTTGTCTAATTCTCTATACTAACTTCAACTTTCGTGTTATTTGTTGTGCCAAAGTACTATAGTGGCACGGTCATCGCACTCCCATTCAGCCTACAAGCCTGCTCAGCTTCTGGAATTTTGTGGGGAGGTGCTTCAATATGTGTTCTTCATACGCTCAAAGTTTCAGATTTTTTGGAGCAGTTTACAAGGCATGGCAATATTTTTAGTTTCAAGACTTATGGCATCCCAAAAGTGTGTGTTACTCTTTTTTGGTAACACCCGAGTTCACCATTTCGGCTGCTGACTCATCTACCGAGCTTTGATTGGTCTGAAAATCGGTGTGGCAGTCCTTTGCCATGTTGTGCAGGTGGTCACCGAGGTTCAGGACAACCCAGCATCGGAGCAGCACGTGACAGCTGTCGAAAGTTACTGTTCCGTAGTCATGGTGCACTGTTGGCAGCATTTCCCTTGCCACCCTTTCATTGTTGTCATGCCAATGGTGCAGGGACAGAGAATGAGACAAGAAGTACAGGTGGTCAAGTGGGACTCTACCACCCTCCTTTTGAGAAGTGTGGTCTTCCTGGAAGCAGCTTGCAAGAGGGTGCAAGTGGGAAGACAAGCTGACTCATGGTTGGCTTGACTCACTATTGGTAGCCTTGAGTACAGCTCTGAACATCCAAGTGTGGTTGGCTTTGCTGACCTAGCTAGGACGTTTCCCATCCTTCTCTAGCCTTTCTCCCCTAGGACTCAACCTTCTCTGAGTTCCCAGGATGGTCCCAACCCCTTAAGAGTCCCCTAGGCAATGTTGCACTAAACCTCTT